ACCATTTGCTTCTCTGGGGTTGCTTCTCTTCTCTGTTTCTTAATGCCACTAGGACCACCTTGAGAGTCACTCTAGTCCTGTCTCGCAAAGTAACTGTGGAGAGAGCTCTGTTTCTGGCGTCTCTTTAACACTTCCCTAAAATGGCCCAAGACTGTCACTGTACATATTTCTCACCTTCTTTACCACAGGCTTGGCACTAGGAGCTTTCTTTGGAGCCATGGTAGCTTATTTAGTACTTGCAAGCACCAAAATGAGTGGAATATTATGAAATATTTCGTAGGAGCACTTGAGGGGACCTTCACTCACTGGTAAACAATGCCAGACTGGCTGGGTAGGGAGGCAGCCCCGGCTCACACCGTGCATACGGGTCCCGGACGAACTACTATTCGCGAGTCAACCTATGAAAAGCGAGTCCATGTTTATACGAAAATACTCCTATAATTGGCAAAATTTACGATTGCCGAGAACTACAAAAAGCGAGGGACCACTGTATATATATACACACACCCCTCTGGGTTTTCTGCTATTTTCTTTCTAGTTCTTGTTTATTTCCTCTTATCTCCATGGGGAAGTGGAACAGAATTCTTCCTCCATAAGCCATGCGTGTCATAAGAGGCGACTAAAATGCCGGGGGAAAGGGGCTAGTAACCTCTTCTCTTGTATAAATTGCTAAATTTAAAAAGAGAAACTTTCATTTTTCTTTTTGGGCCACCCTGCCTTGGTGGGATATGGCCGGTTTGTTGAAAAAAAAAATATCTGTTGAGTATACCTGGTAAGGTGTATGGTAGAGTTATTATTGAAAGAATTAAGAGTAAGATGGAGAGTAGGATAGCAGATGAACAAGGAGGCTTTAGGATAGGTAGGGGGTGTGTAGATGAAGTGTTTACAGTGAAACACATAGGTGAACAGTATTTAGATAAAGCCAAAGAGGTTTTTGTGGCATTTATGGATTTGGAAAAGGCATATGACAGGGTGGATAGGGGGGCAATGTGGCAGATGTTGTAGGTGTTGCAGGTGTATGGTATAGGAGGCAGGTTACTGAAAGCAGTGAAGAATTTTTATGAGGATAGTGAGGCTCAGGTTAGAGTATGCAGGAAAGAGGGAGATTATTTCTCAGTAAAAGTAGGCCTTAGACAAGGATGTGTGATGTCACCGTGGTTGTTCAATATAATTATAGATAGGGTTGTAAGAGAAGTGAATGCGAGGGTCCTGGCAAGCGGTGTGGAGTTAAAAGATAAAGAATCAAACACAAAGTGGGAGTTGTCACAGCTGCTTTTTGCTCATGACATGTGCTCTTGGGAGATTCTGAAGAGCAGTTGCAGAGGTTGGTGGATGAATTTGGTAGGGTGTGTAAAAGAAGAAAATTAAAAGTGAATATAGGAAAGAGTAAGGTTATGAGGATAAAAAGATTAGGTGACAAAAGATTGGATATCAGATTGGAGGGAGAGAGTATGGGGGAGGTGAATGTATTCAGATATTTGGGAGTGGACGTGTCAGCAAATGGGTTGATGAAAGATGAGGTGAATCATAGAACTGATGAGGGGAAAAGGGTGAGCAGTGCACTTAGGAGTCTGTGGAGACAAAGAACTTTGTCCTTGGAAGTAAAGAGGGGAATGTATGAAAGCAGTCATACCAACGCTCTTATATGGGTGTGAAGCATGAGTGATGAATGTTGCAGCAAGGAGAAGGCTGGAGGCAGTGACGTCATGTCTGAGGGGAATGTGTGGTGTGATTATAATGCACAGAATTCATAGTTTGGAAGTTAGGAGGAGGTGCGGGATTGCCAAAAACTGTTGTCCAGAGGGCTAAGGAAGGGTTGTTGAGGTGGTTCGAACATGTAGAGAGAATGGAATGAAATGGAATGACCTTGAGTGTATAAATCTGTAGTGGAGGGAAGGCGGGGTAGGGGCCGGCCTAGGAAAGGTTAGAGGAAGGGGGTAAAGGAGGTTTTGTGTGCGAGGGGCTTGGACTTCCAGCAAGTGTGCGTGAGCGTATTTAATAGGAGTGGATGGAGACGCATGGTTTTTAATACTTGATGTGCTGCTGAAGTGTGAGCAAGGTAACATTTATGAAGGGATTCAGGGAAAACGGTAGACTGGACTTGAGTCCTGGAGATGGGAAGTACAGTGTCTGCACTCTGAAGGAGGGGTGTTAATGTTGAAGTTTTATAACTGTAAAGTACCTCTCTGGCAAGACAGTGATGGAGTGAATGATGATGAAAGTTTTTCTTTTTGGGTCACCCTGCTTCGATAGGATATGGCCGGTTTGTTGAAAGAAGAAAGAGAAGTACTGTCTGAAATGCTTGCCATGGTCTGCAACAAGTCAATGACCACAGGACAGTTGCCAGAGACTTGGAAGACAGCAAATGTACCTACAATTAAGGAAGTTGATAGGCAAAAGTCATTGAAATATAGGCCAGTTTTTCTGGCATGTATGCCATACAAGGTAATAGAGAAGAAAGCCAGCAGGAGTGGTAGAGAGCTCAGAGAGAAGTAATTTCATAAACAATGACCAATATGGGTTTAGAGATGGCAAATTTTGTTTTGCCAACCATTTGGAAGTCTTTGATAAGGTAACAGAAGTGAAACAGGAGAAAGAAGGTTGGGTGGGCTACATTTTCAAGACTAGTTCAAGAGCTAAGGGGATGAACAAGGAATGACTAAAGGAACTGAATGTAACAACTTTGAAGTACAAACAGGTAGCAGGCAGTAACAGCCAGTGACTCATTGTAGTTTAGTCTGTACAGAATTCCTTCCACAAAAAATAGGCAAGGCTCGATACTACTCTGGAAAACAGGAATACAGTGGACCCCCGGTTAACGATATTTTTTCACTCCATAAGTATGTTCAGGTGCCAGTACTGACCGAATTTATTCCCATAAGGAATATTGTGAAGTAGATTAGTCCATTTCAGACCCCCAAACATACACGTACAAACGCACTTACATAAATACACTTACATAATTGGTCGCATTCGGAGGTAATCATTATGCGGGGGTCCACTGTATTGGAAATATAAATAACGTACTAAAAATACCTAACCATGACGGGACTTGCAGAAATGGGTTGACGTTGGAAAAAAATAGATTTAGAAAAGATGTTGTAAAGCACTGGTTTGGTAATAAATTTACAGATGAGTGGAATGAACCAAGTAGCATCAGTGAAGCAAAATCCTTCGGTAGATTTAAAAGTCGGTTAGATAAGTACATGAGTGGGTGAGAGTTGGACCTGTCTAGCATAGGCCAGCAGGCCTGCTGCAGTGCTCCTCCTTCAAAACTCCCAAACAAAACACCAGGTGCTGCATCAGTCACTATCATAACTTCATACTAGTATTGTGTTTAATAACATTTTCATACTGTACAAGCAATTGCCAACATGTTCAAAAATTGAACAACTATAACAAGGGTAGACAAATGAGTGCAAAAAGCAAATGCATATGTAATTAAACTAATTATTGGTTACTATCCATCACTCCCTCTCACATACACACCACTATGTCTCAATTTATTTTGGGAAATAACCAGAAGTTCAAGTCTAATTTCTTTCTTGAAAATTCCAGCATCATTAGAATTCCTCTTGGTGCCATAGTTAATATTCAGGGAAAAAATGAAAAGATTTAAAATCAAGTGAATAACACACCTTAGTAGGTATTAAATAAGTACACTCCTACTGGCTGAGTTGGAGATCATTTATATCAACCGTGTGATTAGGACTTTCCCTTAAAGATAATGGACTTGTGTGTAGGTGTGAAAAGGGAGCAAAACTGTTAAGTGTGTAGAGCCTTATTTTTCCTGAAATCATAGTATTCCATGGTGCATATATTGAATTTTCTCTGCACAATGTGATAATAGAAAACAATTTCATCATTACTATACTGCTGATACTTAACCCTTTCATTGTCTGTGCTGTAGTACTGTGAGTTTGAGGTTACTGTTGGTGCTATAGTACTACACCATGAGCTCAACTCACTCACACTAGCTGTGAGCAGTACATTTGGGCCAAGATATGAGAGAATGGGTCTATGAGGTAAGTGTGCACCATATAAAAAATCCTGCAGCACACAGTGCAAAATGAGGAAAAAAATTACTTTTTAGTTTAAAACAGCGACTTTGCAGTGTTTTTTCTGTATGATTTTTATGGTTGTATTCTCAGTTTCTTGGTCTCATTTGAAAGAATGCAAGATATATTACAAAAACATAGATGATTCTGATTGATTTTCAGGACTGAAAATAGCTTGAAATTGAGCTCAAATTAGCAGAATTGTTCAATTTTGCTGATATTTAAGAGTAAACAAATGCCACTCGTCCGATACATGTCCAACTGATGGGCCTAATACGCAGTCATGAATGTGCTGTTATTATTTATACAATTATTACAATATTGCATAACAATAAATATTTTTTTTTTTGCATGAATAAAAAATCAAATTGGAATTCGTATGTAAAGCCTGGAAACATAACTAATGAACAGAGGAAATGTTAATTTAATGCCAAGAATGCCTGTGCTTTTATTCTGGAACCTATTTTGAAATTTGTGTGAAAATGGCCAAATTAACAATTTCTGATCACTTTATTGGGTTTCTTGTGCTCAACTGATAAAATGGAATATATACTAGCTACATTGCTAAGAATCTGGTCTACTGGAACAATGCAATTGACCTAAAATAGGACTCAAAGTGGGCAAAAATCAATGATGTGTAAATAATACTGATGCAGCAAGATTCACAAAAGTGTAATTTTGTCAATTTTCCACAAAAAATTATACTTTTTGTTTTATCACCCTCAGATCATCATCATTTTGTTGTATTACCTTTAGATGATCATCTACCAAGTGATTTTTTAGCAACATTAAACTCGAATGTAGGTTACACTTCATTTCCAAATAATGTTTAAGAAAAAATTTGTGTGTACCATAAACCACTAGGATAGTATTCATGATAATACAAGTGAAGCAAAACTGATAAATGACTAAGAAAGAGTAGTAATAAGAGATGATACTAACCTTTATAGTTGGTACTCGAGGCTTGAACCTTGGTGTCAGCTGGTTAAGCACTTCCATGAGCAGCTGCTGATGTTTACACACTTTCCTCATCTTCATAATGCGAACTATGGCTGCCTGAATCAACAGCTTGCGGTCCTCCTCAATATGTTTGTGAGTAAGTTCTTGCTCAATCTGAAGTACAAAATGCATATCCTCTTGACTATTTAAAAAAAAAAAAAAGATTTATGCTAGCGCACATAAATACACATCCCAATTTTTGCTACTTGAGTGATTAATTTATCAAGTACCACATCTTCCTCCCAATTATGGTAGATCAAAAAGTTCAGGGGTCACTTAAGTATTTATCTAACCCCAATGAATTAAAAAAGTAACACCAGCCATCCCCATCAAGTTATGGGTGGTCTAAAGAACCAAATATTTCTCTTATAGAAAAAAAGACATCACAAATCTAACGACACTCCAAACTGCAAAAGTCACCCAAACTTTTAGGTGCAGTAGTAGTACTGCACTTCCCACTTCCAGAAAAATAGCTAACTGATTTTCCCTGAGTTCCTTCCTAGACACTTTTCTCACTCCAACAGGGCATGAAATCACAAAAACCACTGATCTGAGATCTAAAGTCTCTCTCAACCAGGAGCCTGGTCATGGACCGGGCCGTGGGGACGTTGATCCCCGGTAAACAAGCTTGCCAGAAGCTCAACCTCCTACTATTCAAAGCTTCCTTCACTGTCCCTCTACCTCACCTTGGGATGTCTCCGACACCTTCCATCAATGCCAAAGTTAAACACCCTTTTTGTCAACCTATATTACTTCGTCCTTTATAAATGGCCAAACTATCTCAACAACCCATCCTCTGCTCTCTGAATGATACCTTTCATACTGCCACAACATTTTCAAATTTCTATGATCCTTATTCTATGCACAATGTTCAAATCAATCATTGATTCACTGCCTCTGAACTCCTCACTGCAGCATTGAAAAAATCATGCCTTACACCCATAAAAGAAGTGTTGGATTAATTTTACTCTGATATTCTCTATTTTGCTCCACTAATACACTCCTTTTGATCCACATGCATTTTTTTTCCTCATCTATGTTATGATTGCTCTCAATTTTCAAACATCCACTCCCAAATACTTAAAAAAAACATTCACTTTCTCTAAAACAGAATGGATGGAATGTGAACCTACAACAAGCCTATTTTAAAACCAGGAGAGCAGTGCACTAATCACTGTACCAAGCTAGCCTAATAACCTTTATGCAAGTTATTTACCATGACCTTATGATTACACAAATCACTGATAACTGCTTTGAAGGGACTTGAGCTAGAGCTTGCCACAGCCATGCTGGTATCAGAATCGCCTGCAAAATTTGCATTTGTTGTCACTAGCCCATGCCAATCTTCCTAGTGTGTACAATAATATACCTAATGAGATGAATCTTATTATGCCAGCATGCTACATTGGGTAGCACACCGTCCTGATGGTTTTAAGACTGGTTTACCATGGGTTTGAATCCCCCCTCATTCTGAGAGTTGCTTATAATTGTGTTACAGTATTATAATTTCAAGTCATTTCTTCCCTTAGCTAGCCTATTTCTGGAGATGGGAAGAATAACATCTACATTCTAAAGACTAAGTGGGAATGTTACAGCTCAGTGGTTTATTTGAACCTGTATCTTTGCTCCCTTTTTGCAAGACAGCTTTGAATTGTGTCTATCCCTCCCCCCCTCATTTTGGGAAATTCTTCTTTGGTAATTAACTAAGATAGGAAATTTTTTCTTCATGGGGAAATGGAACAGAATTCTTCCTTTGTAAGCCATACATGTCATGAGAGGCAACTGTATAAGCTACTAAATTTAAAGAGAAACTTTCGTTTTTCTTTTTGGACCACCCTGCCTTTGTGGCACATGGCTGGTTTGTTGAAAGAAAGGGAAAGGGAAATTTTTTTGGTAAACTGACAAGCCATTACATTAAAGTCCTGGAGGTGGGAAGTGCTATGCCTGCACTCTAAGCCTCAACAAAGACAAAGATTGTATATGAACGATGGCGAAAGTATTTCTTTTTCTGGGTCACTCTGCCTTGATGGGAGATGGCCGACGTGTTTATAGAGAAAAGAGAGAGAAGAGAAGAGAGAGAGAGAGAAAGAGGAGAGAGAGAAGAGAGGAAAGAGAGGAAGAGAGAAGAGAAAGAGGAGAAAGAGGAGAAAGAGAGAAAGGAGAGAGATGAGAGAGGAAGAGAAAGAAGAGAGAGAGAAAGAGAGTGAGAAAGAGAGAAGAAAGAGAGGAAGAGAGAGAAGAGAGAGAGAGAAAGAGAGGGGAAAGAGAGGGGAAAGAAGAGAGAAAAGAGAGAGAAGAGAGAGAGAGAAGAGGAGAGAGAGAGAAGAGAGAGAGAGAAATGTAAAGAGTAGAGAAAGAGCAAGAGAGAAGTGGAGAACTGAGAAGAAAGTCATAGAGAGCAAGAGAAGAGGATGGGATGCCTTATGAGAGAGGACCAAATTGTAAAAGAGAAAAGATGAGAGAGAAAGAGAGAGAAGAGAGAAAGAGGAGAGAAAGAGAAGGAAGGAGGAAAGAGAGAAAGAGAAGAGAAAGAGAGAGAGAGAGAGAAGACGAGAGAGCAAGAGAGAGAGAAAGACTGTTGACAGAGTGAGAACTGAGCAAGAGGCTCACTTCCCTGACCCACTGGATAGATCTGTACAATAAAATTCAGACAGAGAGCTCTTCAAATGGAGGGATGTGAGGTGGCCTTAACTGTAGAAAGGCATAGTCAATACAACTTGGATCCAACTTGAGGAAGCCGTGTAAAAAAAGAAGAGCAACAAGAAAGGAGAGAAAGAGCAACTTCATGGAGTACTCAGAAACAGAGATGAAATACAGAGATGAGAGAAGAGGAAAGAAAGATGAAGAAAGAGATGAAGAGAAGAGCAGTGAGAGAAGAGAAAAGAGAAAGAGGACAGAGAACATCTATGTCAAAGAGTAAGTAACGAATAAGAGAGAGCAAATGAGCTGAGAGGAAGAGAGAGATGAGAAAGTTAGGAGACTAACGAGAAAGACTGTCATTAAAGCTAGGGACCTTGGAATTGTCAAATAGTGGTAAAAAGAGAGAAGAGAGAGAGAAGAAATGAAAAAAGAGAGAAAGAGGAGGAGAAAGATGGAAAGAGAGAGAAAGAGAGAGAGAAAGAGAGAGAGAAGAGAAAGAGAGAAGAGGAGAGAGAGGAAAGAGAGAGAGAAGAGAGAAGAGAGAGAGAGGAGAGAGAGAAGAGGGAAGAGAGAGGAAAAGAGAGATGAGAATGAGAGAGAGGAAAGAGAGGAAAGAGAGGAAGAGAGAGGAAAAGTAGGAGAAGAGAGGAGAAAGAGAGAGGAGAGAGAGGGGAGAGAGAGAGAGAGAGAGAGAGAGGGAGAGGGTGGGGAGAAGAGAGAGAGAGAGAGGGAGATGTGAGGGGAGAGAGGGAAGAGAGGGGAGAGGAGAGAGGATGAGAGAAGGAGAGAGATGAGGGAAATGAGAGAGAAAGAGGGAGAGAGAGAGGCGAGAGAGAGGAAGAGAGAGGGGAGAGAGAGAGGGAGGAGGGGAATAGAGAGAGGAGAGGAGGATGGGAAGAGAGGAGAGAGAGAGGGAGAGAGAGAGGGAGGAGAGAGATAGGGAGTGAGAGAGGGAGAGAGAGAGGGAGAGAGAGAGGGGGAAAAGGCTGTGGGCACCAGACAGGGTGTGAGCCAAGATGTGTGAGAAGATGTGGCAGACGGGTAGGCACCGAGGCTCTAGAAACTCAAGAGGGAATTGCAGCACTGCTAGTACAGTGAAAGGCCTTCCATGGAAGAGGCAAGTGTAGTCCTGCAAATGGAAGAGACAGGCAGAAATCAGGGGCAAGCGTACAGGACAGGTGTGCAGTCCTGTAGGAAGCACTGGTAAGATCTTGATGAATAGAATCACAGACAAAATGCAGACGACGTACCCACGACTACTTTGAGGATCGTCAAGAGGCAGAAAAGCTCAGCTGCTATCTTTAAACTCCCATCTAATCACAGCCTGGAGCTAAGTCAAGCTTGGGTGCATGGAAATTGATGGCAGTATCACCGGTTGCACAGGGCCTTTAGCAAAACGCAAACTGGTGATCAGTCTACTATGTCACCTCATGTGTAATTCTGGTAGATCTCTAAGGACTAATGGACGATGTAATGGCATCCTATTGGAGCAGTTCAAGGAAGTGATGCTGGGTGACTGTATGAACTCTCACATTGCTTCACTCCCCAGAACTAGCATATGCAGACATGTCTACTGACATCTTTCAAACAAGACAATGCCAGTGCTCTAGCTACATGCAATCCCAGTGATCTCTTATCTAGTTGGGAAGTAGATGGCGTAATCATAGTCCTGTAACGCAACAAGTGATCGCTCTAGGCACCTGTATGATCATTGCTGTTGTGCAGTACTAGATGCAATGGACGATGCTTGACATCCTGAAGAAGAAGTAAGATCCTGTACATTTGCTCAACTACCATAACCATGTGATAATCTTGAAAAGGCAGCCAGAAGCTTACTAGCATTGCGATTGATCGCTTGGACATGTGTAAGTGGTTGCAAGATCTGTACGAAAGTACGGCACACTTGAGATGTCCACTTTCTGGTTTGACCTGACCAAACTCTCATGCACAGACTGCAGGTAGAGAACAGAGCAAGCTTCACTCTCGCTGTACCCATCTGCTGATAGATCTCATTGAGAGGCCTTACAAACCTAGGAGTGTGGGTATGGCCTACTGTTTGTTACAGCCAATGATGTCAAACGGATAACCTTGGATCATTGAGGAAGCAGTGAAAAGTTTTTGCCACAAGACGGGCAGATGATCAGCAACTTCACTCTGGTGTACCTTACTGAATGTCACTCCATCTGAATCATACACAGGATGACTCGAGTAGGTAACACATTCTTATGCTATGTCAACAGAAACGTCAGTGATCAAATGAAATGCTGGCATCAAGCTAGGCTCCCAACTTCATCCTGTTCAACCCTGATGCTCATATAACAATTAAAAGCAAATGAGTGAGTAGTCAGTAGCTTGATAAAGTTAGAATCCAATGAAATGCTGTCAGAAAGAGGGATCCTTACCTTGTCAAACCTGTGTAAGAAAAAAAAAAAGTGAGAGAGGATGAGAGTGAGAGAGAGAGAGAGAGAGAGAGA